TACGGATATGTTCTGTAGGGAACGGATGTGTTCTGTAGCAACCCACACGGCCTGACTGGTCGTGTTACGCACTGACCCAGCTTCACCACCTTCTCATGACCATTCCATTATTCTGCGGGTCCGCGGAGGCTGCGGTGGCCTTCGCGAGGCCTCCGTCCGTCCACGGCGGAAGGCCGGTCCGTCCACGGCGGAAGGCTCGTCTCTGTCCAGGACGGAACAGATCCATCGGCCACGTCCGGACCGCGGGCTGGGAGCGGTCCGCCAGCCGTCTGGTGCTGGTGACGAGCTGGACACGGACTGGTGGCGGCAGCGGGCTGGGGAGCTGAGAGCTGCAGCTGAGCCATTGGGGAGCTGGGGAGCTGAGGAGATGGAGAGCTGGGAGCTGGGGAACTGAGGAGCTAAGGAGCTGAGGAGCTGATGAACTGTGGCTGTGGGACTGACACGATCTGTTTTCTTCATGAGGTCACACTCGCATTACTTTCATGAATTAGCTAGTGGTTCTATTACCTCGAGATTAACTAGCCATCACTCTGTCTAATTCATTCTCATGGAACTGCTCTCTTGGCGCGATCCTTTTAGGGAGAACTGTGTCTAGATATCAGTCTAGATATTACCGTGGAACTGCGTGTTGCTGTCTGCCGCCCGTCCTGCGGGTCTCTCGGTGTCTTACTGGTCTCTCGGAACACCCCGGCCCCCGGGGAGGTCGGGACGCCGACTCTCGCCCCGTCACGACCATTAGGTGGGCGACTCATCAAGACGGCGCCCCCGGGGAGGCACCTCCAGGCGCCGCTCGGCCGTCCAGAGGAACTCAGTGACGTCACAGGTGTCTTCTCGGGGGAGGTGACCGGCTGTCTCGGCACTGCGGACACTGCGCACGACGCAAAGGGTCAGCTGATGCTGTACCGGAATGTATTACAGATGACCTTCTGGCAAAGGTAGCCGGAGTTACCATAGCCCTAGGCTACTTGTCACAATTCAGACATGCTCTTGTTGCGGAGTCATAACGAGAAGCCTGTGGAAGCGAAAGTCTTGTTGTTTTCCTTTTTTATGTCGGCATATCCTCTCAATTACTGAATCGTTTCTTTTTTATTGAATTTGCATAACTTTAACTGGTGTTTGGTTTGTTTTTGTTTTCCGAAAGACTGAAACTGAAGACATTATTATATCGCTTCCTGACTATTTGACCTTCAAGAGTCCATTAGCTTAGGAAATGGGTGAGCAAAAACAATGTGTCAAATTTATGGCTACAAAGGTAAAACATGAAATATGTACAGTGTACTCCAAAACTTTTTAAGCTTGTTAACCCGCGCCCTGCTGGGGGTCCTGGATTTCCACGCCCTGCTGGGGGGGGGGTGTTTGAACACCCCCCCCCTTGTAACTCGGCTCCTGGGCTACGTAGCGATACGCGGAAGGCGGCGTTCGAAAGAGCGTCAAAAATAATGACGAAATCACTTCGGTCAATTTTTTGGTCAGGTCAAAGGCCAGGTCACCAGAGGTCATTGAAGGCAAAATTTCGCCAATTTCCAGGTCGAATGTCGAAAATTTCCAAGAAGCCAACCCATAACTCGGGAACCAATAGAGCTACAGCGCCGCGGAAAAGCGCATTCGATAGCCCTATTAACGCCCTTTCTGAGTAATTCTCTCAGATTTGACCTAACGTCAACGGTTTTGCCTGCAGGGGGCAAAAACTGCAAAAATAGCCGATTTTTTTCGAAAACAGTTTTTCTGCAATAACTTTTGACCCAAGCCTTGTACAAGCTTACTTTTACCGGCATCGTGTTCCTCTCGTCAAGACGCATCGAACGAACTATAACTTGACCTTGAAAGGTCAACTTGAAAATTTGACCTCAGGTCAAGGTCATGACCTGACCGGAAAGGGTCATGTTGCATATCAGTCGATCCGTATCGTCGAGCTGAACACATCTAAGGCGTTTTCATCGCTCTAGCATGCCTCTATCAAAAGTTATTTGCGAAAAACTGTTAGATACCATTCGTGACCTAAGATGACCTCAGGGCATAAACAAGGGTCACGGACACCATTTTCAAGTTCAGTGTGTCTAAACCACTTGTAATTCGGTGTTTGGGAGTGTTTATAATGTCTTTCATCCAAAAGAGGCGCATTTCAATTTTCTCCCATTGACTTATAATGGGGAGGTCGCAAAATTGACCTGACCTTAGGTCATCGATATCAAAATTCTGAGATATACATTTTGTACATGCTATTGCTCTTAGCAATCGCTGAAAGTTTCAAAGCGATCGGTCACTCGGTGTAGCTATGACAGACATTGAAAGTTTTTATGAGGTGAGGTCACTTCAAGTGACCTGGTGACCTGACCTTGAATGACCTTGGTCTGAAATTTTCACAACATGTGTAGAATTGATGTATGATAAGGTGTACCAAAAACGGCGGCGCTCCGCGCCGCCGTTTTTGAGATATTCGCGAAAAACCACAAGGGGGGTGTTCAAACACCCCCCCCCCCCAGCAGGGCGCGGGTTAAAAGATCAATCACATTTCACATCCGCCAGTCTAACTATAGGTTTGCTTTGAGCATAGCCACAGCTAGCTGTAGGTAATGCCATTGTGTTCGGCGAGCTTTGTTTGTCTGACACCTTATGCTGTTACGAGTAACAACACTGATCTCTACTGGAGTCTCATTATGATGTTTACTAAAATAATTATATTTATTTGCATACTTTTTAATGTTATGTCAGGATAAGTGAAACATTTGAAACATCCTCAATCAGTGAAGCGGCGGCTGTATACCCAATATACGTGGCTTGAGGGGAGGGAGGGGGGCGTCATCCGCCCCGTTTTGGACGGGCACACTTTGATGTGATAAAATTGATGCCCTGTCACAGCGCTAAGGACATTTATTGCAAATAATGATGGGAGGAGAACAAACTCTGACGGAATATCATGGGCTCTGGCTTGTTAGCTCTTGTGTATAGCAAAATATTTCACAGGTCACGAACAACCAATGTGCACGCCACCGTCAAGTCGTCTCCCTTCCAAACAACGCTTACCAACAATAGCGTGGTCCAAATTTATTTATACACTGCACGACAATGCCATCAGAGAAAATTGCAGATGACAGCAAAGCCATGCTCCGAGAGGTCGGCGCGTTAGGCATGCATGAATGGCCCGCAGGCCTTGTTTGCCGGCCTTTGGACGTGGAGCACGCGACGAAGTGGCCCATTCGCTGGGAGTTTGACACAAAAGCCCGGGTGGCATCCGAAATCCGTTGACCTTAGGACGGATCGTCCGTCAAGCTGGCCGATAAGTCCGCCGGCATTCGGCGTGATTGGACGTGAAGCCTTGTCACCATAAATCCGCAGGGAAAACGGTTCTATGTGCAGTGCAAAACAGCCCCGAATTTCAAAAGCTGAATGGTGTTGCGCGTCACTTGCACAAATTAATAATTACACATCTTAACCCTCGCCCCGTTGGGGGGGGGGGCATTTTGGCCCCCCTGTGGTTTTTCCTGAATAGCAAGAAAACGGCGGCGCGCAGCGCCGCCACATTTTCAGTACCTTCTCGGGCATCAATTTTACACCTTCACACCAAATTTCAAGTCTTAGGTCACCGTAGGTCAGGAGTTATTGAGGTCAAACTGAGGTCATGTTCGAGCAAAAATGAGCAAAAAACATGCAAACTTGAAACGCTCACCAAATCTACAGTTATCAAGCAATTTCAAAGTTCTTTATATGTTCTAGTAGACAAAAAGCGGCGCTACAAAACTGCTATCTCGGATTTTCAAAATTTTGGGTTTTTGACCCAAAAAAAATCTTTTTTTTTAGAAAAACTAAAAAAAATCCAAAATTTTTCCGAATTTCGAAAAAACCGGAATATATGTGATAGTCCCTGCGCTCTTCTATATACATACCAAATTTTAGATCGATATCTCGTTTTTTGGCCAAGTTATAGCGAAAAAAACTGTTCAAAAATGATGACGTCAAATTTTTGAACTCAATTTTTAGCGATTTCAGACCTCTTACGGCAAAACAAAGACCACCATTGAACTCCCCGTGACGAGCTGCATCGATTCGATACCCATTTTATGCAAAAATATCAACTTTAAAATTTGACTTAATTTGACCTGACCTTGACCTGACCTTGACCTGACGTTGACCAAAACGTGACCTAAGCTGGCCCCAAAGGCTGCCTGACCCACATAATCGCATTTGTCATGTAAAATGGACCATAAAGTATGTATCACACGACACTTTCATATTGTGACCCCCCAGTGACCTGACCTCTGTGACCTGACCTGGTATCAGTGACCTCAACTAGCAAGTGTTTGAAGAATATTTCCCCATCGATGATTTTCAATGAAATGCATTTTACTCGATTTTACAACGCATTTCTTGAAATGCCTGTAAACGGTGAAAATTGGACCTTTGACCTGACCTGTGACGTCATCGGTTTGACCTAGGTCAATAAAATTGGGTCACAAGGTAGTTCCCTGATAGGGCTATCCAACACCGTTTGCCGCTTGTCGCTAGATTGCGTGGTTCTCGAGATCTTAGGGGGGGGGGGCAAAATGGCCCCCCCTTCCCCAACGGGGCGCGTTGCTCGGCAGAGCCCAACGGGGCGCGGGTTAAGTTTTACCCTGTATTTGTCATTTTTCAATTTGTACCCTGTGCGCTTGCAAGAGTCATACTGTTTTTTAAGCCAGTTGGTGTGGCTGCAACAGCGCTGAGGAAATATGCGGATCAACCCAACACCCAGCCGTTTTCTCTTTTTTAATTCCACTCGCCACTTGATCGAACTGTCGCCTTATCTGGCTGCCTCTCTTCTCGCGTTTCCCGCTGGAGGCGGCACCCTCCCCCTCCTTATCGGTCTGCTCTCTGCCTCTCTCCGCTCTCTGCCTCTCTCCGCTCCCTGCCTCTCCCCGCTCTCGCCCGTCGCGAGTGTGGTGTCGCGGCCGACGCGCAACTCCGCCGACGGTGCCCGACCGACGCCGTCGCCGCCGACGGAAGGTCGTTAGTCGTCCCGAGGAGCGACGCTGGTAGCAGCCGGCGACGGCAGCGACGGCGTCACCGGCGGCAGACCGTCGCCCGGCGTCCGAGTGCAGCTCCTGGTAACAACGCGTACGAGTGGACGGCTAACGGTGGCTGGATAACCGATATATAGCGGCCAGTGACAGTGCTCCCGGAAAATTAGATCAAGCGGTAGGCGCACAACCTAATAATCCGATCTTCTGTGGGCTCCGAGAACTATCGGAAGATTTGGAAGATTGGATTTTGCTTTCTGAGTGAATTGCCGATTTCGAAACATTGAATATCGACGTCTTACCGACAACTGTGTGTGAATCGTGCAGTGCATTGCATCGAGTCCGAAAACACCTGTGATTTGCAACGTCAACTGGGTGACGATCTGAGAGTCTCCATTTCAGGGTGTTGCGCGCTGGCCGTGGCGGACGTTGTGTCGACCTGCAGCTACAGCTCGGGTGCCGCTATGGAGGGGTGCGGTGATGCAATGTGACGGTACAGGCGCCACCGAGTGCCACAGCCGCGGTCAGTGCGGGGCCGGGCCGCTGTGGTAGTGTGGTAACCGCCGGCCGGGGCCCGCGGCCGCCCGCGCCACGCGCCGCTGGGGTCCGTCCGCAGCTGGATATGATCAGCCCGGGGGGATGATGGTGCAGCGCGACGTCAGGCCAGCGGAGAGCATCCAGTGCCCGCCACCAGCCGCACGACTATGCCGCCGACACTGGCCACTGCCATAGCGACCACGCTACTCACAATCGGTCTGCATGGTAAGAAAGGGAGATATGTTCGCCATAATGCCACTATTTTTTTCTTCACTGATTTGTTCCGTCTGAGGCGCCTGCAATATTTGTGAATGTAAAGTCGGTTAGGAATGATGCATCCTACGCGCTAAGCCCCGCTGATTACGGAAAAGCCCGGTTTTCCCTCTGCCGTGATGGCCTAATGAGGTGACTGTCAGAACTCATAAATATGAAATGTTCATTAAGCCCGGCTTTGCTTGCTTGTGTTGAGCCAACCCTGCTAACTTGTTCTGACACAAAAGAACTTGAAACAGCTGTGAGCCGGTCCCCCTAAATACAAGGCATATCCTGCTAAATTGAATGTTTTCTTATCTAAACAAATACCGCGGATGATTTACATTCTGCTCGTAAATGAATTCAATTTGCTTCTGAATTGTCAATGTAAAATGGGTTATCTGGTATTGCATACTTATTGATATAGGACGTAGGCATTATAGACTGTAATTTTTTTCCCCTATAGTATCCGGCCACTTTTCACTAACAAAATGCGAGTAGACTTGAAGTCTGCTCGCATTCTGTTAGTAAGAAGTGAAGTCTATATATAGTCGCATTTCGTTAGTGAGAAGTGGCCGGATAACTAGGAACTTAGTTAACATTTTTACAGTGTAGGTACTGGCTCTTCTTGCATGTGATAAAGTTCTATCCCTTCATCTGTACCAGTGTGTCTTTTCGGCATAGATCCTTTACACACATGACACAATAGTAATTTTCAATTACAAATATTTATATATTGCACTGCATTACAAGCCAATTGATACTTAATTGATATTGACTGAGCACTATGTATAGCTCTCGTCTATGGCACTTGCTGCAAGGATTGGGCTCTGAGAACTCCTCTGGCCGGAACTGAGCCTCAATGCGCAAATACCGCATCAGAAATTGTTTGCGGATCGGCTACCACCGGGTCGGAATGGAACTGGTTGGTGAGCTGATTGTCTCAATTCAATCCGATAGATGGCTGCATTTGCCGTTTGTCGATGATAACCTGAATATATCCGCATCGCTCAAACTGGAAGCGAGCGATAGGGAGAATTGCTAAACGCATCTAAGGTATCAATAGCCTTGTATTCATTTAGCCAGAGGGTATTGCAAGAATATAGATAACAACATCTTGCTCATAACTTGAGGAAACTGAAAAATTCAATTGATTGTGATTATTTGATTTTTGTTATTATTTTATGATTATTTGTTTTTGCAATTGTTATCATAATCATGTTCCACAAGGCTTCAAATCATCCAAACTAAAACTAGAGTGTGTCTAAAAATATAACACATAGTGATTAAAACGACTTGCAACATGGCTGTAACTTATCATCGTGTAGTAGGGGAATAATTGCACATGACATAGACCCCGTTTCCATGGGCATCACTGATCCGGATCAGCAAATTTAATCCGTATTATATTTCTCAAACTATTCGTTACATGATATAGTTTCAAGTGGATTAGGCTTATATAATCAGTTAATCCATTATTTTCATTTTCACATATTGTCTAACTATACTGGATTACCTAATCCATTTTTACTGATCAGGATCAAAGATGCCCATGGAAACGTGGTCATAGTGCTTCCATATTCATCATAAGTACTGACGGTCTTTCTTTTTTGTCATTTTTATTTAAAAGTATTATCTTTTGCTGGAGTATTTCATTTAAGTATGTTATACAAGGAGCCGGCATCGAATTGCAATTTATCCAGTTCAACAGACAAACGATTAAATGATTTAAGTACCGTGTAATGTCTATGCGCCCTTTTCAACTCCAGCACTTGGCACGGTAAAGTAATCTTTTCGAGTTGAGCGTCATCTGAATATTCTTTTCTCCCATGTTGACCGCATGTAGGTGCGAGTCTCTTATCGATTGCGTCAGGCGAGCCTGCAGTAGCGATGCCGCTTCACCCGTCTACAATCTACATGCAAGCACACTGCCTATTGCGGCCATCCGTATGGTGGTATGCAAGTTACTGTAGGTGGGAATGCGACGCGCCTGAGGACGGTCCGATGGGACCTTATCGACCCCCTGGCACGACCCTGGCTTGTTGCGCGGCACGGCCCTTCCACACACGTCAGCAGCGGTGCAGAGCTGCGACCATTCGTCTGAGTTTGCTGACAGGCCAGCGGGACAGACGAGATTGTCATTGGTTCAGAGTATACAAGTCCACTGCAAACTGCTGCCCCGGACAGTTTCCAGTAGCAATAATTTCAGTCATTTGTCTATACTAACCCATTAATGCCGCTTGGGTCATATATGACCGAAAAGCAAAATCTTAATGTTTTTTCTCAATGGAGGCAAGTCGCACTTTGAGGAGCTTGTGCGTGTGTTTTGTTGGATTTGTGGGTTCAGTGACGAGCGTCGGAGCCGCATAAAACTTGTGTGAGCTCGTCCAATGAAGTTTCTGGAGCCAAAAACGACGGGACTGCACAGCCGCCGGTGACTGGCAATGGCGCGCCGCCCCAAAAAGTAATATTATATCATGTTTGCACTATACTATCTGCTGAATGATAAAGGGTATGATGTATATTTTTGCCCTTCTTGTCGCCATCGGATAACTTTTTTTCCTCGATAAATATCATTGGGTCATAAATGACCCAGCCGGCAATAGTGTTGTCAATTTTCTCGTATATTGAATACAAGGGAAGCAACTGATGATTATACGATTATTTATTTCTGGGGGTTGTGATCAGATCACAGTGGCGGATCCAAAGGAGGGGGGTCATATGGGTCACCCATGACCTCCCTTGGGGCCCGGGGGCACCACCGACCTATCAGGGCCGGGCACCACAGGCCTGACAGGGGCACCCCAGGCCTAGTGCTGCGATATTGGGATATCATGTGCGGACCAGTCGTGCGGGGCCGTGACGCGGGTCGGGCCGGCGACTCGGCCGGCCGAGGGGCACCACGGGCCTGTCAGGGGTACCACAGGCTTGTTAGGGGCACCGCAGGCCTGCAGGAGCACCATTGGCCTAGCAAGAGCACTATAGGTCTGCACAGACCTACCAGGGGCACCAGAGGCCTGCCAGGGGCACCATCGACCTCACAGGGGCACCACCAGCCTCGCACGGGCACCTTGGGCCTGTAAAGGGCTCCACGGGCCTGTCGGGAGCACTTCAGGCTTGTCAGGGGCACCACAGCCCTGCCAGGACCCAGGGGCACCAGCGGCTTAGCAGGGGCACCACAGGCCCGCCAGGGGCACCACAGGTCTGCCAGGGGCACCACAGGCCTAGCAATGGCACTGCAGGCCTGTCAGGGGCTCCACAAGCCTGTCAGGGGCACCTCAGGCTTGTCAGGGCCCAGGGGCACCACAGTCCTTCAGGGACACCACAGGCCTGTCAGGCCTATGGTGCCCCTGACAGTGTCAGGAGCACCAGAGGCCTAACGGGGGCACCACAGGCCTGCCAGCGGCATCAACGGCCTCGCCAATGAGACGTTGCAAAGCATTGCAATGCAGTGCCTCTTAATATTGTTTGGCTGAGACCGCTATACAGTATACACAATAAGGTATCTAGCTAAATCGGTTTTCGTGATAACTCATTATTTGTGACTATACTAATGCCGGTTGGGTCATTTATGACCCATGCTTATAACTTGAGAACCGATGGAACAATCTTTTTAAGCTTGCACAGTTTTCTTACTGGGACCCGTGTGACTAACATTTGTTAAGGACAACTTAAGAATCAAAAAATAAAAATTCCGGCATTAATGGGCTAAGGCAAGGCAATAGACGACAAAGGGCACACATTCAAATTGCTACCGTAAAAAGATGTGTATTTGATTTTGCATGGTGCCAAACATAAAACGAAACATCTTGATCCAAGGGAGCCCAGCTCCTAAACATAAAAAATAAAATGAAACTAATGATACCCATACTTATTGCTCATTATGCGATGCATGGAATTGGATAATGAATATTTACATTAAAAAATCGACAAATTATTCGGAAAAACCACAACGATAATTTTCGGTTTCAACAAAGTTGCCACCATTCATTTTCTGTTTTATATTAATGTTTTGCATTCGAAATCCGCCGAGCTCAGAGCGCCGTGGTAACTGCCGCCCTGTTCCGGAGTCGGACACGAGACCAGACCATGATACCCCGTTACTGGGTCGAGACAAAACCATTTAGCGGTCGCGCCTCGGTGGCTGTGACCTTTGGCGTGTCCTGGAGGAGACCCGTGCTACATGAGCTCCGGGCTGGTCACGAAGCGAAGGACCAACGGATCCACCCCGCCGACCGACCGCTGACCGACCGACCGACCGACCGCTGACCGACCGACCGACCGACCGACCGACCGACCGACCAATTGACCAACCGACCCATCGTCCGACCGCTGACCGACCTGCCAGCCGGCCCATCGTCCGAACGCTGACCGACCCACCCACCACCAACCGCTGACCGACTGACCGACCGACCGACCGACCGACCGACCGACCGACCGACCAATTGACCAACCGACCGACCACCAACCGCTGACCGACCTGCCATCCGACCCATCGTCCGACCGACCGCCGCCCAACCGAGCGACCGATGGGAAACTACCCAGCTAGCTTGACTCTTTAGTCTTCCTTTGTTCAGCACTGAGAAGAACTAGCCTTGAATTTTGAAATACATAGCCAATACACATTGAACTTCAATGGATGTATGTTCTTCAGTTTGACGCCGGAAATATGATTGATATTTCTGGCCGGTATGTCAAATACTGTTTTGAACTAGGAGAATTTGATATCACAAATATTTGAACAACGCCAACGACTACTGTATGATGTTGAATAAATTGATTTGTACGGCAAATGAATGCTGGAACTCATTTCAGAGTTTTCCTCCTTATATGTTTCAAACTTTCCCAGGCAAGGACCTTTAGGGCAGTGGTCGGCAGGTCATTCGGGGTCGTGCCCCCTTTTTGGGCGCCAGGCAGGGCCATTACCCCCACCTACCAGACCCCATTGCTGACACAACCAAGTTTACTGAAAT